TTTTTTTTCAAATCTATAGCATTTCAATTACAGTTGCCATTGGTTGTGAAGTTTTAAGAGGCGAAATTGTTGCCTTCTGGATAAAGCATTTGACTGGGACTCAAGATGGGTGTCACTACCTGAATTAGCTTTTGTAAGTCCTTTATTTCTACAGATTTACTGCTTGTTTTTTTGTCTTTCACCCACTCTCTCTCTCCCTTCCTTGTCTTTTCTATTCTAATTTCTTTCTCCCTTTACAGCATCTTATGAAGTGAGCTTCAGTTCACAAAAGTTTGTGCTTATGCTATACATATGTAGTAAATATATATTTACCTTGGTTTGTTATACAGTACAAATCTACTCTGCCTTCTACTTGACTTCAGACTAACATGGAAACTATGTCTCTATCTGCTGGCTAGGCCACTTGCTGGCTGGATAACCTTGGGCAAGTCACTTCACCTTCCCGTGTCCCAGTTTCCCCATGGGGATTGAGGACACTAGCCACTTTGGTAAAGTGCTTGGAGATCTACTAATGAAACATGTTATGTAAGGGAAGGTATTATTATAATTTCACCCTGCAAATCCTGCATCAAGTCCTAAATGCCTAGTTGAACTACTATGCATCTCTTTGAAAGGCATCCAATTGCACTTTTAAATGGCTTTTTATATCTAAATGTTGACTTAGTACTACATTTGGAGCTTATATATTTGCAGCTCTCCATTCAGTATATATCTTCACCTTTCCGAGACCCCAAACAAATGGATTTTGGTGACCACAGTATAGTTGTACAGGACTGTCTGTGCCCGGTTTATGCCATGATACTCGTATTCAGAGAGCATCTGCACATGAACAGTTTGTAGAGGTAGATGGGGTGGGAAGGAAGAACTAGGAATGGAGGTGTAGAGAGTCTGTGGGAAGGGGAGGAGCTGGGAAGGGAAAATTCGGAGGAGAGTGGAGTGGGAGATAAAGGGCTCCTGCCCCCTCAGCCTGGAAGGAAAAGTAACCTTCACAATTGATAAGTTCTCTGACCTTCAAATCATTTAAGTTCTGGTTTCACACCCAAAATCACTTCCCCCTCTTTCCTCCACCCTGCAACAGTCAGTATCTTTCCCATCACCCCTACTTCCTCTTGCCTGAGAATGGCCAAACAGAAATAAGACCTGCAGTTCTCTTGTAACGCTGTCAGTGACCGACAATCTTTGCCTTCGCCTGAGAGAACTCAGTGCCTAAACGTTGGGAATGTTGACCATGAATGTTTCTAACCAGAATACTCTTATACCTTTTGATAAGCAGCATGGTGGCTTCCTAAAGGGTGGGCTTCTCTTCCACAAGCTCAAGAGATTTGTCTGTCTGTCTTAAGGCCTTCTATCCATTCCATAAACTCAGGGCAGAGATGCCTTAGTTGTGTTAATCTTCATGACTCATCTGCTCCTTCTGGTATCCTTGAGAGCTGGAAGAAGAATAGAAGGTCATCACCTAAGCCATGGCTGCCACTGTGGTTGGGAGTCCCCGGCGCGTATGATTTCAGAATTCAACCCATTCCTAAAATGGGAGTCATCTGGACCCTGCTAATATTCTCTCCTTGCTATAGTGAGATCTAAAAAATATCTAGAAGTCAGATTTAATTATGTGGGCCAGGAGTCAATCAATTCACCCATTGTATAATACCTCTTCTTGCCCTCCCCCAGAATGTGAAGGTGAAGGGAAGCAGCATTTATTAAACAAAGCTGATTATTTTCTTATGACAGCTCATAGTTTATTTTAGACTCATCAGCTTTGTTGTTGCAAATAGATGTGCATATCATCCATCTCTCAATTCGTCATTGATAGGGATATAATCTACTTAGGAGTGTATGCACACACACAAACCCACAGTGAAATGAGGAACTAAATCCCCTGATTTAGTAAGAGAGCTTCAAGTGCAGTGCTGAAAGAATTATTTTTGCAGTGCGTGAAATATCTTCTACATGTTTCCCCTACCCCCAGTCAGATTAGTTCAACATGTTACACATCAAGCAGGTAAAGTACTGCTGGGAGGTGAGGGACACGTGCTGTGGCCTTGGAGCATGGCTAAGTCTGGTCTCTACTATAAATTGTAAAATAGTATAAATTGAGGTATGAATTTTAATCTGAGATCAGTGCTGGTGAGGTAGGTGGCTGTTTGGAAACTGTTGGTTCAAATCAGGTTTATTTCATTTTAGCAAAAGTAATAAGCTTGGTTACCCAGAATTGCACAAGTTTCATCAAATACAGGCAGTCCTCTGACTTATGGCACAACTGGTTTCTGAAAACCTTGTCTTAAGTCAAAACATTGTAACTCGGAACCAATTTTCTCATAAGAAACAATGTTATAAATGGGGGATTGGTTACTGAACCAAGGCCCGATACCCTATTTTCACTAAAAATACCCCATAATTTTGTACTCAATCAATTACAGATGAGTAATATAGTGGCGTTAATGTATTTATATTGTAAATAGCAATCACATTGATTTGAAAGGACTTCTTTGAGGTGACTTTCCTAGACTTTTTGAAGGGTTGTTGGCTGGAGTCTTCTCAGGAGTCTTGGCTGCAGGTTTTTCTGGAGTCTTGTCTGCTTTCTTAAAGAAAGTGTCCAAGGAAGTGTGGACAGATGTTCTCCAGGGAGATGGGCAATGCAGCAAACTTATTCGCTGGCATGGCGTCGCATCAGATCAAGCGTTGTAAAGTCAAAACTGATGTCAGAAAGTTGAAATGGTGTCAATTTATAAACGTTGTAAGTGTGAAATGTTGTAACTCGAAATGTTGTAAGTCAAGGACTGCCTGTATGAATTTTTTTAATTGATTAATTGAATCAATGCAACTTTGTTTTTGAATGCTCTTCTGTTGGTTTAAACCTCCCTTACATTAATTTCAGATGCATTTCTAGTTTACAAGTACAAATGGCATTTCTATTAGCCAAACTGAAATCCTTATGAGTACCCAGACAGGGCTCTTCAGCAACTAGCTAAACAGCAATGACAACTGACCAGTTCTGACTTATTTTATTTATATTTACCTTTTAGGATAGAGACAGAAATTATACATAAACTGGTATAAGTGGTCAGAAACTGCTTCAAATCTATAACAACAGAAATTCAATGCACATAAACTGTTTTCAAAATGGCTGAAAGCAGTTTAAGATAAACCTGCATGGATGTAGTATCAGATTAAACTGATTTAGGATGGGAAGGCTAGCCTTGGCCCAAGCTGTCTGCTCCAGCAGAGCATGGAGGTGTGCTCTAGTGCCCCCTGCTTCTGGCCTGGTCACTGCAGGCATGTGGCTGCATTTCCAGAATCATGCAGCTTAGACTAAACTGCAAAGATTGAATTGATTCAGCCTCAGGCTTTTTGATTGTCTATACTTAGCCTTAGTGTCCTAGGAACTGAATCATTTCCTTTGAGGCTGCTGACAAATGTTAAAAAAAACCCCAGAAAACAAAAAATGCACTTTACTGGAAGAAGCAGTGCATTAGTTCAATCTGGCTCTGCAGCATCTGTACAGATTGAGTGCTTCAGCGGAGCTTTCTGGCATTTTTATCTAATAGCTGATTGAATCAGCTATTAGATAAAAATGCCAAAAAAGTCCCACTAAAGCACCTGATCTATACAGATGTTGGAAAAGCTGGGTCCAACTAACGTGATACCTCTTCTGGGCATGCACTGGACTCAGTGCAGGGAGTGAGCTGAGTTTGAAGTAAAGCACCATTTGTGGGAGCAGGGTTTACCTCTGTAAGCAGCCCATATCTCTGCTGTTATCCATACCGCATATACCTGAGTTGAGAGGATGGATGGATACAGGAATTCTCCATCTTTCTTGTCTCCAGTCCCCAGTGTCATTTATGGCATCCTATCTGCACCCCTATCACCTGCTAGTCAAGTTCAACATATACATGGATACTTGAAATATCTATTGTTCCAGATCAACATTATCTAATAATTAGGCATATTGTTGTTTGTGTGCTCTAGCCTTAGACAAATACATTTAGACTGGATTTTTTAGGCAGATCATGGACTGATCTATTTCTGCTTATAAAAATATAGAGAAGTAAGCACATGCTGAATTTTTCAATAATCACATGACTTGTATAGATGTTATGTAATAATCTGTATATCTTTATAAACCAAATGCCTGGGCAAGTTATTCTCATAGGTAAAAGTTTTTAAAAATGGATGCCCAAAGTCAAGCATGGATGCCCAAATACTGAGTGGCACCCCGCAACACGCTTAAGAGGATCTCACAGTTCCCCAAGATGCTACAGCATCATGACTGAGAATCACTGGGCATATCTACACAAGACACTTTACCACGCAGTTGACTAATTGACTGTGCAGTAAAGCATCACTGTGTGCACATGCAAATGCTTACTGTGCATGCAGTCAATTAGTTGTGCAGTTAATTTGCTACCTGCAAATTAACAGGTAGCAAATTAACCATGCTGTAGTTACTGTGCAGTAGCCCATGTATAGATGACTGACTGGAACCAAATTTGCTCCTGGTCAGCCCAGGCAACAGGGGACAGGAGAACAATCTTCTTTCCCCCAGGAGCTGCCTGCTGCTGGGGTGGGCTCCAGTCATGGAGCTGGGGCCAGGACAATGTCCCCCCGCCCCGGCAGCAGGCAGCTCCTGGCCCCAGCTCCGCAATCAGAGTGGGGGGTGGGACATTGCTTCTGGCACCCAAGAGTTGCCTGCTGCTGGGGTGGGCTCTGATTGTGGAGCTCAGGGTAGGACAATGTCCCCCTGCCCCAGCAGAGAGGCAGAGCAAGGCAGGAGCAGGTCTGCTCTCAAGGAGCACGTGTAGACCTGGTCCCTGGGAGGCTTACTGTGCAGTAAAAATACTACTTCAAATTAATAGCACATGTAGACACATCTGCTGAATTACTAAATGTAAGGCTCCCAGGAGCAGGGGACACTCAGTACCTATTTTGTTTCTGAATGAAAGCTTTTTCCGGTAATGAATATATGATTTTGATTATGCCATTTTTGCAACCCCACAGGGACATTATTTGGAGATCATGGGAAGCGGAAGTTCTGCAAATCCAAACAACTGTCCACAAAGATTGGAAAAAAGTAAGTGTTTCTTTTAAACATTTCAGTCTTTTCCTTATGCTTAAGAATATTCCAGTATAATATCACAGGTCCTGCATTTCTATATTGCCTGATGGTATCATGGCCCATTTGTACAGTTCAGTTTCCCTTAAAAAGCAAGTTCCAGTTCCCAAACAAAGAGTAGCACCAGACTTCAAGGATCACAAACAAGTACTAGCTGGGGCTGAGATTCAAGGCAGTAGAGACATGGCTAGAGGCAAAGCTGTGAATCAAAGCAATTTTGGAGCGGATGAATATTCAGATTAGCTTGCTACTTATCAGTAAACAAGCACATATTATAACCCTAGGCTCTGATAGGCAGCCTGCTGGAGGTATTGGCACTACTTCCCCAGGACTGCAAATCTAAACAGCAATTGTAAACTGCTGTGGAGTACAGGCTTTCCAAAAGTTGATGACTATGAAATAAGTCAGTAAAAAGCAAAAAGCATCTCTCCTAAATGAGAGCATCTCTTTGGCTCTCTTAAAAAGGCTTCATTTTGTGATTAAACCAGTTGATGATGTCTATTTTAATTTATATTCATGTGAGGTTCTTCTTGTTTCATCATAATCTGGACTAGGGCTGTCCAATTGATGGCTAGTGAGGGGTAAACACATGATCCATGAGCTCCCACATGACTACCACTCCTTCCCATTATTCCTGCTACTGTGGTGGCCAGGGCATCTTGGTGGGAGGGGGCCCAGAGAGCCAGCTGCCCACACAACAGGGGGACCATGTGATGAGGGAAGTGCCTGGAGGCCAGCATAAAGGGGGAGGTCCTGGGAGACCAGTGTAGTGTGTGGCCTCTTGCTCCTTAGGAGCTGTATCTATACCATGTTTCAGCAGGGCAGGGTGAGCAACAGTTGCCGTAATCTCCAGGGCTTCCTGAGCTGGAGGTAGGTCTGGATCCAGCCCACAAGGGTACTCATGGTCCAGACCAACCCAGCCTTGTGGTGTGGATCCAGATTGAAGGACCAAACAAGCTTGAGATTCCTGAAGTAAAGGAACCATGAACTAAGATACTGAATTGCCAATCACAATTATTATCTAAATCAATCTAAATTGTTATCTAAGTCTAACTCTATGGGCAGGATGAGTGGTGTGGGGCAGGTCTGCAGGCCAGATTGGGCCCATGGACAAACTCCCCTTGCCCTACCCCTGCCCCAGCATGCCTGATCTGGTAGCTGCTCCAGCCAGTCTGGGATTTGCACTGTGTGCAGTGATGGCCATATCCTGCCCAAGACTGAAGCCCCACGTACAAGTAAGAAGCTGGTAGGCTCTTAGGGGCTCAAAGGAGTCCTCATCCAAGGGAGGGAGAGAGGAAGAGAAGAAAATGGGCACTCTCTCCCTTGGCTCAATGGCTTTTTTTCAGTTAAGTGTTGATTAACCGCCACTGCCATCCAATCAAGCCAGATGTGGTGGCAATCAAAGTGGAAGAATGAGGCGCACGGGTGTTTCTTTTTTCCTAGCCCGGTTCCTTTTTTTCATTTGGTGTTAACTTGATCGCCAGCAGCCAATTGGCCCAAACGTGGCAGTAATCAACTAGGAGGAGGAGGAAGAAAGAGGCAGATGCTCCCTCCCGAGGCTTGTCTTACACTGATTAACTGCCTCCAGCAAGCAATCAAGCTGGGCATGGTGGCAATTTGAGTGAAAAGGAGACTCGGTCCGTCCCTAACCCAGAGGCTCAACAGTCCAAGGGAAGACGGACTAAGTAAAGGGAGTTGTCTTGACCCCGACAACCCAGAAAAGGACCCAACGGGTCCAATAAAATTTATTTCCAGTTTTCCAGTTCATCTGCCATTTTTTTTTCTTCGCCGGCACCGAAATCCAGACACGAACCAGCAACCGGCAGTGATTGGGGCGGTGACATCAACACCTCCCTCTCTCCCCCTTCCTTTACATCTTCAATAACCATCAAAAAAAGTCATGGCAGGAAAGAAAAAGTGGGAGAGAGAAAAAGGGAGAGCCACCCCGAGCTGACTGGGAAAGGGCACAACATGGGGGAGAAGACCGGCGAATATCCGTTGGGCACGAGGGCACATGCCTCTCCCCAGTGGCAACCTCACACACACACACTCACTCACTCACTCACTCTGTTCCTCCATCCCTCACTGCACCACACACACATGCTCTGTCCCACCGGCCCCTCACCTCCCACCCCCACTCCTCCCAACCAGAAACCAGAGACTTCTGGCCTGGGACCCTTTGGCTGTTCCCTGCCTCCCTCTGCCCAAGAGGGAAATTCAGATAAAGCAGAAGAGGGAGGTAAGGGAGGACCGCGAGTGATCAACCCAGTCCTCAGGGCCTGACTGTGCAATTTTGGGCGCCTCACTTCAAGAGGGATGTGGATAACCTGGAGAGGGTCCAGAGAAGGGCCACACGTATGGTTAAGGGCTTGCAGGCCAAGCCCTATGAGGAGAGACTGGGGCACCTGGACCTCTTCAGCCTCCGCAAGAGAAGGTTGAGAGGCGACCTTGTGGCTGCCTATAAGTTCATCATGGGGGGATTGGTGGGAATTCATCAGAAGGGAATTGGTGAGGCTCTACTCACCAAGGCGCCCCTGGGGGTTACAAGAAATAGTGGCCACAAGCTAGCAGAGAGCAGATTTAGACTGGACATTAGGAAGAACTTCTTCACAGTTAGAGTGGCCAAGGTCTGGAATGGGATCCCGAGGGAGGTAATGCTCTCCTCTATCCTGGGAGTCTTCAAGAGGAGGTTAGATAGGCATCTGGCTGGAGTCATCTGAACCCAGCCGTCTTTCCTGCCTATACCCCTCTTTCCTGCCTATGCAGGGGGTCGGACTCAATGATCTATTGAGGTCCCTTCCGACCCTAATATCTATGAATCTATGAGCTGGCTCCTGCTGAGTCCTGCAGTCTGACCATGCAGCTGGGAACCACGTGGTTCCGAAGTGGCCAGTGGTTGGCCAGTGGTTGGGCAGAGAAGCAGTGAAAGCAGGGGCAAGTGGTGGGGAGTGGCAGTGCACGGGTGTGTGAGAGGGCAGCAACAGCTGGGTTGGAGCGCAGGGCCGGCACAGTGCTGGTGGGGGCCCAAAGCGGGGTGGCAGGAGCATGGGGCTGGTCTGGCAGGGGCTCTGTGGAGGCAGGCTAGGCTGCACCAGCAGGGACAGTGGGAAGCCAGCCCAGCTCCATAGAGCCCCTGCTAGCCCAGGCCCCGTGCTCCTGCTGCCCAGCCTCACCAGCGCTGGCCCTGGGACATCAACACGGGCCCTGCGCTCCCACCCAGCTATCACTGCACTCCCACATGCCTGCACACTGCCATTCGCCCCCACCTGCTGCTGCTTTCACCTGCTCTCCCACCAGCCCTCCTGCACCACATGGGTCCTAGGTGCATCGCTGGACTGCTGGAGCACAGGTCCTGTGCCTGTATCCCAGGGCCAGGAATGGAGAGGGGGGTGTTTGTGTGCATGCGTCCATGCAATGAGCAAGGGAGGGAGTGGGGAGAGAGAGCAATGAGGGAGAGACAGAGTGTGTGTGTGTGTGTGTGTGTGTGTGTATGTGTGGTGCAGTGAGGGAAGGACAGAGTGTGTGCAAATGCAATGAGGGAGGGAGGGACAGTGTGTGTATGTGTGTGTTCATAGGACAAGCCCCACACATACACCCCACCATACACATACACCCACATCCCCCCTCACACTGCCATGCACATGGACCCCCACACCCATACCCCCTCACACACCCCAGCCACCCTTCCCCCCACATACAGCCCCCACAAACCCCATACCCACCCACACACCACATATCCAAACACATATGCACATACTCCCTCACACCACCCCCACATCCCCACACCTATCCACCCCCCACAAAACCCCGAGAGACACACCTACCCCCTCCTCCACATACCCACAAACTTATACCCACCTGCCATGCCCTCCACCCCCTCCCCCTACAATATACAAGTGTAAGACTTCATTTTAAGCAATTGTGCAATCACCTCTACACAAACACATGTAAATCAGGCCAAAAATTTTTTTTAAATCAAATAAACGAATGTTGTAGATGTTTGCTTTTTAGAATATAATTTGGTATTTTTCTGGTTCAGAGATGGTAAAACCCCTTGCTGAAAGGAGTACTTCTGGGGGCAAGGGGAGGGACTTCTGGTGGCAAAGGTTGGGGGTTAGGAAGCGAGACTTCCAGTCACAAGATGGTGACTGGCGGCAAGGCATCTGTCAAGGGGCAGGGCTACCCATGCGGCCCTCAACAGCTTGCCAACAGACAGTAAGTGGCCCTCCAGCCAAAATAATCGCCCGCCCCTGGTCTAAAGCTATGCACGTAAAACTGAACACTGGAAGTGATATTTGATCCAAATTGTCCTATGTGCACAGAATCCACCTGGATTCCTTCAGCAGCTTCATTATTTATATTTCCCAGACATTTCAGGTGCCTTTTTTCAAAGCTGGGTATCTGCAGGTGAAGGAGACAGGTAGATCAGGGTCTGGTTGATATGCATCACCTTCACCAACCCAATGAGGAATCCAAAACAAAATTTAGCATGACAATCAGCATCCCTGCTCTCTGTGGAAGAGTCTGGGGCTGCTTCTGGTGGAGGATGCAAGCTGCAGAGACCCTGTAACATGACTCTGAGCCAGGAAACTAAGGAAGGGAGAGAGAGCCCAAGAGAGAGATGCAAGACTGCATGCATGTCAGGGAATCCATGAGGGCTGAAATCCCTGCCTGTTTCCCAGTGAGGCAAATTCTACTTCTCCAATGGAACAACACAGAGGAAACTTTGAGAGGAGCCTTGAAATATGTTCATGTTCCTCTTCTAGCCTCTGAGTTTCTGAAATGAGGAAAGTCCTGCTAGAAAACCCAAATCCACACTTCCCTCTAGCAACAGCATGAAATCCCCAATTCTGATGCTATTATAAATGAACAAGAGGGCCAGATCTTCAAGGAATCATCAAGTAAATTGGCATTATGGAGGCAAGGGAGCTATGCTGATTTATACCAGCTATGGATCTGGTCAGCTAGTGTTCTTTACAGATTAGTAATCATATCACTGAAGTCTGCCTTGCAATATGTACACAAAAGATAGAGGCAGGTACGTATAAAGAGTATAAATGTTGTCACCACTTGCCTTCTGAATGCTTATTTATGTAACCTTAATGTTATCTCAGGGTGGGAAAAACTCTACAATGCTTACGTATCAGTTTAGAAATTTAGAAGGATGCCTTCTAAAATACCTTTACATTCACATACCTTTACTTCGCTGCTCAGAACAATAGATCTTCTGGTGGCATGACTTGTTGATTGACCTAGCTGAATGTTGTACACAGATCTGAAAGCAGCCTTTCTTTCGTTCTTTCTTTAAACCAGCATTAAAATCATCTCTCTAGCTGCCCACTTGTATTTTTTCTATACCCATCACTAGGATAGTTAGGCATGTTGGTATTCTTCCAGGAACATTAATTAAGGGAAAATCTTAAAGATATGTGTCAGGTGACTGATTTGGTTATTAATCTTTTTTTTTTTTAAAGGGCTATAGTATTCACTGCTGATTTGGGGTTTATTATGTTATCTCCTACATAAATTAGCTTATTTGAGTTTGTGAATGGTTCTGTTTGGGCCAGTAATGAAACGTTGTTTGTATGTGGTATCTGCTATTCAGTTTACTGCTAAGGTAAATCTTTTAACTTTTTTCTCTTTTTTTTAAACAGGGCGGACGCTACCAGATGCAACTCACCCAGGTACGGCAGTTAGAGTACAACACAATTATATGACTGAAAAAGCCATGTGTAAAAACAGCGTTCCAGTAGGAGCAAATAATGATACTCACTGGGCACATCTACATGTGCATTTATATTGCATTAAATTTACTGCACAATAAGCATTTTTAAGGCCACCATCTACTTGTGCAGCTGTTGAAGCACAGTAACACTGTGTGTGGACTGACTTGGGACTAAAGTTAGTCCCAAGTCAGTCCACACAGTGTTATTGTGTAGTAAGGCATCTACATATGCATTACAGCACGCTAAATAATCAGGTGAAAATTTGATACCTGCATGATGCAGGTATCAAATTTACGCCCAGGTCTGCATAAGTCACCAGATTTACTGTACTGTATGAGCATGTACATGTAGACGTGTGCCCGTACTGTGCAGTAATTTTCGGTTATTGTGCAGTAATTTCTGTTACTGTGCAGTAAATGTGCATGTGTTGATGTGCCCACTATGTACTTATTAACAAATGTTCCATGAACTTTATTTCAATATTTTTAAGTACTTAAGATTTGCTTTAAAATGCTGGTGGCTGGTAATTCATGACTTTCTGAGGGCTGGTGGGGGGGTGGGAGTTTGCTGACTTTAGAGAAAGAGGAAGGAAGGAATGTGTTTTGAATAGAGAGACTGCTTAAATTTCAGCCCAGGCATTCAATTTAAGATAAGCACATGAAATATTTTGGTCTGGATTATGTCAGCAGTTTCCTTTGTATCAATGTAGACCATAGGTAGAATCTGTCCTTTTAAGGATGAATCATGGTTAAGGGCCTCTAGTTGAACCTGGATAATTAAGATTCATTGGGTGAAATCCTGATCCCACTAATATACATATTAAAATTTCCATTAGCTTCAATGGAGTCAGGAGATTCCTGCTTGATTCTAGGCCCATCTGTACCACTGATTCACTCTGAACTCGGGTCTCTCCTCAATGGTTCTAGCTATACAGTGCAATGAATAATACTTGCTCATTTGCATAGTGGACAATTTAATCATAGGCAAGGGTTTCCAATTGACTAATTAATTCTGGTTCCTTTCTAATTTTTTTTTTATCTGGCACGATGGCCTGGTTATTTATGACGTTATTTATGTCACGATGACATGTTATTTATGTCATGGCTAGATTTTATGAGGCAAATGAATCATGGGGCCAAATCTTCAGCTGGTGTAAAATACTGCAGAAGTACTGATTTATGCCAGCTGAGGATCTAATCTACTATATTTGGTACTCAAAACCAAGACAAAGTTTTTTTTTCCCCATTGAACATTCAATGTAGGTAGGGAAAAAGGCAGTGGGGCTAGTGGCTGCTGTGGGTAAGACTCCAACCCTGACCTGGGATCAGGGTTGGTCTTGTAGCCGCAGCAGCTGCCTGCCCTCTCCTGCCCCCACCTCTGCTTTCCCCTCCTCCCTGCCTCCTGTTTACCAGTCTGTCATGGCTCCTGGTCCATTCCAGCCCAGGGCACAGAGCTCAGAGTAGCTCCAGCCCTGGCCTAGCCATGCAACTGCAGTGGTGGTGGCAACAACTCCAGTGTCCAGGGGTACTGGAGCTGCCATGACTGCATCCACTGCTGTGTGGCCAGGCTGGGGGCCGAGCCACCCCTGTGCCCTGGACTGGAATGGGGCTATGCTGAACAGTAAGCAGCATGAGGCGGGGGGAATGGAAAGAGGCAGCTAGGGCATTAGCAGAGGGGGGACAAGTGGCAGATTGCAGGGGGGAACAGGTGGGGAGGGGGCAAGGGGCAGGAGTCAGGCCACTTGCCCCAAGCTGTTGCCCCCTTCACCACCTGCCACTGCCTTCACCACTATAGCAGGGGGAGAATGAGCTTAAGGCAATCCTCCACTAATACAATTCTGTACATGGAATATTATAACAGGTCTATACATTTTTCATGTATGGAATCTAATTGTTGGGGGTCATCTTAAATTCAAAGTTGTCTTGGATTTGGGAGAATACAGTTATGTGTTTTGTTAGCTTGCTTGTTTGGTGTGGCCTAGAAGTGCTTACTGTCCGTTTTCTGCTGTTGGAAACTCCCCGAAATAGGAAAATACACACAGATCAGTTATTGGGACAGACCAGATTTAAGACTCTGAGGCATGGGAAGAATAAAGAGAAAGTCATGAGATTCACTTCTGCTTTGTAGACATCTTCATAGTTTCTGTTTTTAGTTTGAAATAAAACTCTGTGTGTGTGTGTGTGTGTGTGTGTGTGTGTGTGTGTGTAAGTTAATTGAATTAAAGCAATCTGTCTATCTCCTGCCAACACTTCTCAGCCCACAGTAGTTTTTCCTTCTTTGTAAGCCAGCTTTTCCACCACACTTGCCCCATTGCTCTCCCTGTTCTGGCAGGCACTGCAGTAGTTACTACTGCTGCTCTTTCCTTCCAGATGCCAGCCATTGTTGTTGACCTAAATGAATGCTTGCATTCACTTTCCTTCTGGCTGCTTTATTTTTGGTCTGGCTGATAGATTATGAAGCAGCTGCCCCAGCATCAACCCAAACTGATATTGTGTGGCACTGTTAGAAGATGACTGAAACTTAGGGCTCTGGAGTAAGGCCTAAAAGGAACTGGAGAAAGTCACTAAACTGAGCCAAAAAAAAGGAGGTGTCCATGACTGGAGGGGTTGCTGAGGTGGCGCAGATGGTATGAAGTAAACACACAAGCTGTACCAGATCATGGCATGGCATGGGGAAGGCAATGGGCGCGGCCTGACAGCGGCAGTCCCAGCCCGCACTGATTGGCAGGGGGCGTGCAGATGCAGCCCGTTTAAAAAGGCGAGCGCGCCAAAAGAAAGGGGGACCGCCAAAAGAAAGGGGGACCCGCGCAATATTGGAGAGGCCTGATCACCCTCACCGGAGGTCCTGCGTCCACAAAATCCCTTCCCCCCGGACGCCCCCATCATGACTGGGTATACCATCCGAACGTGTTTAAGAGCTCTCGAGTTATCAGCGAGTTTAATCTTGAAACAGCTGTTAAGAAGTTTTTTTTTCTGCCTAAACTGTGAGTAAAGCATTTACTTATCTCACCGCCTCCTTGGTGTTTTTCTATCGATGGAAGGAGAGACAGAAGAGGGAGGAATAAGGCCCCGAAACCCTTTTGTCCCCGGCCTGCTCGCATAATCTGGGTCCAACCACCCATTGTCAGGTTGAACAGTAAGCAACTATTAAAGTTGCTAGGATAGTTCATATGCATCAATGCAGGATCAGATGCTTAGGGGAGAAACTTTGTCCACCTAAAAGGCAGTTTTCCAGCTGCACAAGTGGCCTTTTTTGGCATCGTTGCACAGTTTGTGATTTTATTTCCGGCAAAACGTAAGTGTTCACATGGCTACTGCACATACTCAGTAGGCTACACACTAGTCAAGAAGGTATGTGGCTACCACAAAAGGAAAAAAGATAGCAAGAGGGGGGCAACCCTCCCATACTTTAACCCCAATAACCATGTGGTTAGGCACTTCTCCAGGAAGTGGGAGAGCCTGGTTTTCTCTTATCCAGAACATTTGAACCTCACAGCACTCAAACCACCAGAGCACGGGTCAGGCATTTTATAGTTCCCTCTCTAACCTTTTGAAGCTGAGCGGCCGAATCATGTATTTAATAATATCGGATAAAATGGATGGAGAGCAGTGGGGAATTGTCCACCCCGTTGAGAGCAAAGGTCCAAAACCTGCTCCTTTCCAGAGTAGATCCATCCTATTGAGCCACAGACCCTCCAGCTAGATCTGTTCCTTCTTGTCCTATACATCTCCCTCTTTCAGTTGCTGGTGGTCAGCTTCAAAAGAGGAGCTGAATAATGTCTAACCTGCAATGTTAAAGCACTGTGCTGAGAAGTCAGAGAGAGACAAGTTTAAGATGCTCCTGAATTAGGTCTCTTGTTTTCTGGGTAAGTGTCTAAACCTTTCAGCTACTGGGGCTAAAATACAGAAGTGTCCTCCTCCTCCCCACTTCCTGCGCTTGGTTAGTAGCAGTGGCATATACAGGATCAACAGCCAGAAGTGCTTTCCTAGCAGACTAGAAGAGAAAATTAGATTTAGTTTCTGTATTATTCATATCCATCTCCACCCTCTTTCTTGCTATTTCTCAAATCAGATTGTAACTGCCTCATGTTAGAATCACACCCCAGTTATTTCTCAACTGATTCTCGAGTGTTCTTTGAACCATATTTATCATTGGCATGAATTAAACTAAATCACCTGACATAAATGAGATTGTATGTGCTTAGCTGGCTGTGAATTTGATTCCTTTCCTCGTAAGCCTTATAAGGTTTAAGAAAAGGGGTCTTCTGTTTTTCACATTTCAGGACATTGCTTAATTTGAAGTCCTTTAACATGAACTCCCCTACCCCACCTGGGGTAACCTACTCATAAATAAATTAAGAGGCTGTGACATAGATGTTTACAAGTCTGGTGGGTGGCAAATTGGCTGTGGTCACACCCAGAGAGTGGTAGTAGATGGGTCGGAATTGACCTGGAAGGATGTGGGTAGTGGGGTCCTACAGGGTTTGGTCCTTGGACCTGTACTCTTCAATATCTTCATCAGTGACTTGGATGTGGGTGTGAAGTGTACTCTGCCCAAGTTTGTGGATGATACTAAATTATGGAGTGAAGTGCACACTCTGGAGGGTAGGGAACGATTGTAGGCAGACCTGGACAGGTTGGAAAAGTGGACAGTACACAATAGTGATGCAGTACAAAACAAGGACAAATGCCGAGTGCTGCACCAAGGGTGCAAAAATATCCAGCACACCTACTGGCTGGGAAGTGACTCTGTTAGCAGCACAGAAGCAGAAAGGGATCTCAGAGTCACAGTGGACTCCAAGATGAACATGAGCTGTCAGTGTGAAAATCATCAGCAAAGCTAACCACACTTTATCATGCATCAGCAGATGCATGACAAATAGAACCAAGGTGATACTTCCCTTCTATGTGGCATTGATCAGACCGCAGTTGGAGTACTGTGTCCAGTTTTGGGTGCCTGTACTTCAAGAAGGATGTTGACAGACTTGAGAGGGTCCAGAGGAGGGCCACTCGTATGGTTAGGTGCTTACAGGATAAGGACTATGAGGAGAGACTGAGGGACCTGGACCTCTTCAGCCTTCGCAAGAGAAGGCTGAGAGGTGATCTTATGGCTGCCTACAAATTCATTAGGGGAACACATTAAGGGATCGGACATGCTCTGTTCACCAGGGCGCCTCTTAGGGTAAAAAGGAACAATGGCACAAACCGACAGAGAGCAGATTTAGGCTAAATATCAGGAAAAACTTCTTCACGGTAAGGGTGGCCAAAATTTGGAATGGGCTTCCAAGGGAGGTGATGCTCTCCCCTACATTGGGGGACTTTAAGAGAAGGCTGGATAGGCATCTGGCTGGGGTTGTCTCACCCCAGCCCTCTTTCCTGCCTAGGCAGGTGGTTGGACTTGATGATCTGTTGAGGTTCCTTCCGACCCTAGCATCTATGAATCTATGAATCAGAGCCAAGTTAAAAGGGCATAATGGATTATGGAGGTTCAAGTGGGTTGATGGCAGAGCTTTAAAAAGGAAAAGTGTGTGTGTGTCTGTGTGTCTGTGTGTGAGTGCATTATCATATACATAATCTCAGTTCTTGGGATGTGATAGCCCTGTTTTGCCAGGAATTTGCAGTATGATCTTGTGGCTTCACCTAAATGCTCTGTTTCCACTTTCATGGTGACCTCATTTCATGCTCATGGTGTTGTGAGCATTAGCAAGTTTATATCTGTAAGGTGGGGCTTGCTTGTTTGGACTATGAAGTTGCCAGGGCAGCTGTTGGGTGCTTTCCTCAAAGAGGCCCCTGGGGGCAGGATGAGGGTGGAGGTGGGGGTGAGGATGGGGATGGGGGTGAGTAATGACTCCTCACCTCCTGAAGAATATTTTCCGGGGTTCCCCATGGTTCTGTTCTGCCTGGGCTCCTGGTTGGTGCATTCATAAAGACACAACAGGAGACAGCAAGGGGGTTAGGGCTGCAGCACCATCAGGATACTGATGGGGTAAATCTGTGTCTCCTTTGCATCAGGCTGGCACAGGGTGGCGTCCTCGCTTCCCCCATGTCAGACCAGGAGAAGGAGCACAAGCTGGCTCAAGGCTACCCAACAAGACAGAACGGATGCTGGTCGCCTAGGGAGAGACTCTGGAGAGGTTGGCAGGGAAGGCACCACTCCCATCAGTGAGTGCATGAACCCATCTCTTGTCCATGAGGGTCCATGGTTGAAGAGAACTTGTGCTCCCTCAGACGTAGTGCAGTGGGTGGAAATGCCTTCTCCCCTCTGTTTGGTTTGATGATCAAGATATTTTCTCTCAAGTGTGTAATGTGTCACAAATGTCCCAGCCCTTGTTCCTGCCAGCTGGGGTTGCTGAAGTGTGCTCTATGTGGGCCTAATCTGGAGAAGCCCAGGAAGCTGCAGGACATTGTTGCCTGCAGACTGGATGTAGGAGGTGTATTACACCAACAGTCCAAAGGATCCACTGGCTTCCTTTGCACTTACGGGTGCAAATCCACCTGTGGGTGTTTGATCTTTAATCCTTGCATGGTGTAGGTCCTAGCAACCTGAAATCCCTGTCCCTCTCAATACCTCACTACAGCACCTGAGATCAGCTAAGAAGCTGTTACTAACAGACCTTAGATTTGGGATTTGGCATGGGCAAAAGGGGATTCTCAAAGCACATTTCTTACTCCTAGAATTCATTTTAGCTCACTGTCTAATGTCATTTACTTTTGTAACCCTTTTTAAGGCACAGATTAAAGCTGACTTGTTCACCACGGCTTTGGCAATGATTGGTTGGTTGCTTATGATGGGAGTTCTTTTTCTAAGGTTGTCTTAGTAGTGACTTGCGTGTGTTTCCCTTGCAACTGGATTTTTAGTATAGCAAAGGACAGCTGCTGATTGGGATACTGCTGGACAAGAAAATAAGATGCTACGGTCTACCAATACAAATATGTTACTGGACTATTTCATTTGCATAAAGTATGTTTCAAACCAATGCCCTGCTATTGTGTTGATCCTAGTGGGTCTCATGAGAAAGCTGTCTTGCTTCAGAAATGCCAGGAAGCTCATCTTAGAATGGATGGGCAGGATATGTCCACAAAGGAAGGTTTAAAGCAGCAGCATCGTTCCATGTTTGTCCTACTGTATCCCAACTAAAAATGGTACAGTTCCACTTGTGTAGATCTCTATGAATCCAGCCCGGCATGCATTTGACTTGATGCAGGGTTGATAAAGGTTCTGAAACAAAGTTCTGGCCTTGGTCCAGTTCCTGCTCTGCCACATTATCATTTTGTTACCTTGGGCAAGTCACATATTTCCCCAAGGATTTTACCCCTTGGTCTATAAAAGAAATGTAATATTGCTTGAGAGAGACAAAATATGGTGTAAATTTGTCAGTCTAACTTTCAGGAAGGGCTTGACTAAACCTTCTGACACCATTGTAATACAAATATCACTAATGTTGAGGTCTTAAGCCACTACCAGAGGGAAGTATAGAAGTGTCTTTGAGAATCACTGATTCAGTGAAGTCTGACTTTTCTCTTTTGACAGGGTAAAGAGTCCTATAGATAGTCCTATAGTTTTAGATTATTTATCCCTGGCTGCAGGGGACAGGACACAAAGTAATGGACTTAAATGGCAACAAGAGAAATTTAGTTTGTATATTAGGAAGAACTTTTTCACTAGAAAGGTGGTTAAACACTGACTCAGATTACCTAGAGAAGCTATGGAGTCTTCACCATTGGCAGTTTTTAAGAGCAAGCCAGACAAACACTTGTCTTGGATGGTTTAAATGAAAGCATCCCTGGATTGAGCAGGGGGCTGGACTAGATGGCTTCCTGAGATCCCTTCCACTCCTGCTTTTCTAGGATTGCATGAAAAGCATTTCAACTGATGATGAGAAGACAGCTAAGTTGTTTGTTCTGCTCTCCATGTCACAGCCTTCAAGGCCGCTGTCCTCATCCAAAGGTGGTACCGGCGTTACATGGCCCGGCTAGAAATGCGCCGAAGATGCACCTGGAGAATCTTCCAATCCATTGAGTACTCCTGCGAGCAGGATCAGATCAAGGTAGGAAGACAAGGAGACAGAAATGCTGGAAACTTCTGTCCTTGATTGTCAACATAACTGATTGTGCCATGGAGGCACGTGGCATTTTTCTGACAACCCCCTTTTCTGGAAAGAAGGCTGATCTTGGAGTTACAGCACAGGGCTAGATACAGTTCCCCAATCTCTGAAAAGTCTTGTGTGACCTTGGGTGAGTCACTTGTTCAATCTTTCTGAAGACAGAACACAAGGCCCTGCTATATGTTTGTAGAAGGGAAGAAATGGTATTTATCAAGGGAGAGCGTGACATAAGATCAAGCAGAAGTGTAGTGAGTAATCTGCGTATTTTGAGTTTCATCACTTTGTTTTAAATTTAGAGAGGGAATTCTTCGTGAGCTGTTCCACTTCCCTTTCTCACATCTTTTCCTTTTGAGTAGGCAACAGCTACCTGACATATCCTGTCTATCACTGAGCTGCCACCTTTGGGGTAGACATTTCCAGATCATTTCTTTAGCTACTGGATAGGAAAGCTTCTCTCAGTATACAGTACACAAACACAAATCATGACAAAAATATTTTTTGTAATAAAATTAAAATATGTTATAGTTATAGTAGGTGTTTGACTTTTAGTATATGAGTTGGTTTATTTTCTGGTTCTAAGATAACACACCCAACCCCTCCCAAAAGGAGTATTTTTGCAGGGCAAAAGGAGGGACTTCTGGTGGCAAAAGATAGGAGTTAGGGGCAGGACTTCCAGTCCCAAGATGGTGGGGCAACTGCCAAGAGGAGGAGCTACCTTTGTGGCCCTCAGAAGATCCCCAAAACTCACTAAGCAGCCCTCCAAGCAAAATAATTGCCCTCCCCGATGTAGATGCATATTGACATGAATGAATGTATATGTCAGTATAGGTATAAGGTGATGACTGCAGCCAGCCTTCCTAGCCCCAGTTCGGAGATCCTTTTCTGAGGGGCTATGAATACTGGGAGGAAAGCCAAATTAATTTATTTTGTCTAAGGGCTTTGTTACACAGAACTCTTAGCACAGTGAGCATTACCATGCCATAGTCAAAGTTAGAATGTGTTTGAGCAGTCATGCACTAATGTTTATTATAACCTATAAATGTAAGGTGTGACAGGCTCTGGGACCACACCAGAGCCATTTCAAGACTTTGGTGTGGTTCTGGGACTGACAATCAGCTGATATTCCTCCCTGGAAAAGTCCTAACTTTACTGCAATACAGTTGCATTTACCGTGTGTTTTATTGCTTGAACACTTGGACCCTTGCATTTTAAGTGCAGTCCAAGTGTAACATGTAACAAGGCCCTAACTTGCCCCATTATTCTTTACCATAGATGCCTTAAACAGATAATTGTATTTTTATATGGTTGAAGAAATGTAGCTTTTTCCTTAGTGTGTGTAATATTCTGGATCAGATAAGGAGTACCTGATAGGAAAATGGAAGCCTGGGCAGACATTAAAGTGGGGCGCCATAATTTCTTTGTTTTTACATACCACTCAGTGGAAAAAAGCCCTTAAAAACAGAATGGGTTAGAACCAAAGCAAGTGAGAAAAGTTCTCTGTTTTGTGTCCTCTCCATGATCAGTTATTAGGTCATGCTTCATCTCCAGCCCATTCCAAATTCCATGGGAGTTGATGGAAAGACTTCCATTGACTTCACCATGCTTTGGGTGAGGCCTTTTCTTCTTGGTTTTTCAGATTTTCAAAAGGGTTTAGTACTCCCAGTAAAGGGCTTAGTACTTTTGTACTCCTAGTACCCAGCCAAGGAGATCAGTATGTGTTGCTATCCTTTTGAAGTAGTCACACTGGGGTTAAACACATGGGCTGGGAAAAGACCCAGAGGCTGCTGCTGACCTTTCCATCATTCAAGATAGCGCTTGAAAATATTACAGTCACTCACTTAAGGTGGAGAAAATCAAACTGCATGCTGTGTTAGTGCAGCATGCAGTTAACCAAAGGAAGTCTCCGGAGTGGAGAAGTGGCTCAGCAAGATTCAAATTAGGATTGGATGTTTGTCTGAATAAGAGCAGTGTACATACCCTGTCCTTTCTTAAAATGTTATGGACTATTGATCCTTAGACATCAGAGCATTAAATAGCAAACCAACCCATGTGAATAATTTCCCCCTCTAGTATAATATTGTGCATTGTACAGTCATTCTGTCCTCCATTGTGTTATTTTCTATTGGCCCCTTTCTGGGCAAGGATATTTAGACACCTGTTTAGTTCCACTGTGGCATTTTTTTGGTTCTACCAGGAGAACTGGTATAGTCTTATATGCAATATAAATAGTGCAGTATGTGAAGTATGTAGAAAAGGTTCATATACAAAGAGGATGTTCATTAAGAGCTTTGCAGCAGCGGATTGTTAATACACTGGAATGAGTCTCAGAGTGAATGATAAGGTTCTCCTTTCTTGTTTTCTACAGCTTCACAACTTCTTCAATTACCTTATGGACCACTTTACACCAAGAAGCAGTGGAGAAAGTAAGCCTGTATATTCCATATATAGCTATGGAATATAGCTATATATATAGCTGCCCACTTAATCAGTCAGAAATTTAACGTTGAACAGTCTAAGGAATGTCCTTAAAACAGGGGTGGGCAAAATATGGCCTGCGAGCTGCATCCAGCCTGCCAGGCTATTCTATCCAGCCCGTGGGACCCCTAAAAACTTTAGAAAATATTTATCTGCCCCTGGCTACCTGTCAAAGTTGACAGGAGCCAGGGGCACTAGGACCCAGAGGGAGCTGGTAGCAGGAGACAGGAGCCTAGCCCTGCCCCACGCCCAGCCATTACTCTGCCTTGCTACCCCAGCTCTGCTCCAGCACCATGTGGCTCCCAGCTGCGTTGCTGGACCAGGAGTACAGGGCTGCACTGGTAACCCAGTGTGTGTGTGTGTGTGTGTGTGTGTGTGAGAGAGAGAGAGAGTCTCTGTACGTGTATATGTGTGTGTGTGTATTCATAGGACGAGTCCCACACATACACCCCACCATACACATACACCCACACTGCCCCTCGCACTGCCATGCACACAGACCCCCACACCCATACCCCTTCACACATCCCAGGCACCCTTCCCCACACACTACCCCCCAAAAACCCCATACCCACCCACACCCCACATATCCACACATACATCCACATGCTCCCTCACCCCACACTCATATCCCCCAAACCTAGCCACCCCTCACAGACACACTCACATCTTCCCCATCCCCCACATACCCACACAACCACAGCCCCCCACAAATTTATACCCACCCCCCTCCCCACAATATACAAGAGTATTGCTTCATTTTAAGCTATTATATACAATCACCTCTGTGTTTATCTACAGGAACACACGTAAACCAGGACAAAAATTTTTTTTTAAATCAAATTAATTAATGTTTTAGATGTTCGCTTTTTAGAATATAACTTGATATTGTTCTGGTTTGGAGATGGCAAAACCCCTTGCTGAAAGGAGTACTTCTGGGGGTAAAGGGAGGGACTTCTGGTTGGGGGTTAGGGAGTGGGATTTCCAGACCTAAAATGGTGACCGGGGGGGTGGGGCATCTGTCAAGGGGTGGAGCTACCCATGTGGCCCTCGACAGCTTGCCAAAACTCGGTAAGCAGCCCCCTGCCCAAAATAATTGCCTGCACCTGCCTTAAAAGAATCCAAAGGACAACCTACCCAGATGTTATCCAGAAGGCCATGCCTACTATAGAAGGTCTCTGCAGTTTAGGGTAGGGAATCAAACTGCTGCAGCCTTAGGACTTGAAGGGGTGAATGAAGCAGCTGCAATTCCTTTAGGAGAGGGAAGAGCGAATAAAAATGCCTGCTCATAACGCTTTTATTAGAAAATGGTTTATTGTTTTCAGGGATAGCCACAGTAATAACTATTCCATGATTCTGCAACTGCAAAATTCATTATTAGAGAACTGTGTTCTAGAATCTGCGCTTCCTTTAAAAGTACGAAGAAAACCTTCAAAACATGAATTAAGCTGTCTTGCTGAATCTACAGATAGCTTGAAGCAATAGTGCTGAGAGCTGTGAACTCACCAAATTATCCTGATTATTAACCCCAAATTAACCCTGAATTCTAATGGTGACATATCCATATTAGCTATTTCACTATTGATCAGCTAAGCCAATACATCCCACTAAAGTGCTTCATATTCCCTGTCAGGTTGCCTCCCTTACTCACACACCTATCCAAATCTGTCTTCCTGCCTTCCCCTTCCCACAACAAATTCCACATTTGTTCCATGTTTATACCATGCCCAGCACAATGTTATCCTGTTCCCTGAGTAGGGTTTCCAGGTGATATGGTAATGCAAAGAGTTATCATGTAATTTTCAATGTAAAATCTGTCCCACAATGAAAACTGAGGCACAGTGTAAAAGAAATTGAATATTGCTTCAGAATAATACATAAATATAAAAAGTACCATACTGAGTCAGACCATCTATCCCAATATCCTGTCTCCAACAGTGCCAGAAGTGGATGCTATATAGCAGGGGTGGGCAATTATTTGTTATGGAGGACCACTTAAGGAGTTTTAGTGAGCTTTTGTGGGTTCAGGGGAGCAGGGGGTACTGGCACAGCAGGGGGAGGGGGTACAATTGATCCTATCCAGCCCAGACCTGTCTGCCCTGCACCCACTGCCGGAGGTGCCAGACAGTGTGGGGGGCCAGGGCAGAGGCCAGGGTCAAGATTGCAGAGCAGTGACAGTGTGGGCCTGAGGCCTGAGGCAGAGCCATGATCTGCTCCCTGCATGTCCCTAAAATGAGTGCTGATTCTGCAGGCAGGGATGTGCAAGAAGATTGTGGCTCTGCCCCAGGCCCTGGGCCCCAGCCCCACACTTACAGTGCTTACACTTACTGCCAGGCAGGGCCAAGGGACCTGCTGTGGGCCAAACAGAATTCCTTGCCAGGCCAGATCTGGCCCACAGGCCATATTTGGCCCACCCCTGCTATATAGGGAGAGCATAAAACTGGGTATCTCTAGAGTGATCTGTCCCCTATTCATTACTCTCCCTGGCATCCACCATTTATTGGGTTAGAGATACCAGAGAAAATATCCCCAACCATTCTGTTCCAAAAGAGAAGTGCTGTATTATTGTTCCATGATTCATTATCGTATGCAATTCAAGAAGAAATCTCAGATTTTTCAAGAATACAAAAATTGCCACTTGGCTTCACCAAAATCTGTAGAGAATATTGGGCCTTGCAATTGTGTTTGCCACAGCAAGTACTGAGCCTTGCTCACACCTCATCGTTTCCCAGGCCTTCTACTGCCTAATGCAGAATCAAGGCATCAACAACTCCACTGGCACTTTCACAACAGCCTGTGCAAAAGGTCTTTCTTAATTAGCTTCCCCCTCCCAAGGCCAAGTGATCTTTAGGAAGTTACTGAAATGATCCATTAGTCCTGATTAGCATTCTCTGGTTTTACTCCACCTAGGGGATTTCATTAGTCGCATGTTCACAGAGGAAGAAAATTACAGAGAGTCAGAGCTGGAAAAGTTCTGTGACTATGACTCTGTTGAAGTGCCGGATTCCTACACTGGACCCCATCTTTCCTTCCCACTCCTACCTGATCATGCTGCTGCCTTAGTGGAAGCATTCAAACAGAAACAAGTAAGTAGCCCAAAACAAATCATCCTTCTTTGGAGGAAGATTCCAAGATGAGATCCACCTCGCCTGTTCTAAACACATGATCAGGAGCTTGCCATGGGGATATTTTTTCAGGTCATTGACCATTTTGTTCCATCAGTCCACAGCTTCCACCCGTGATTATTGTGAAGGCTATTGACCAAATTCTTGGCTAGTGTAAATACAGGCATGGTTCATGGAAACTTAATGTTGCTGCACAAGCAGAGAATTTGGGCCTATGTGTGGCAGACCACTTGGCATGCCTGCTGCTTTCAGGAGTCAGGCAAACTGCAGAGCAGGTGGGGTCGGGCCTAAGCAGGGAGTCAGCAGACCGAGGGGCTGGCAGGTGAGGCTGATCAGGAGGGCCAAATGACTGCAGGGAGAGCGCCAGACTGGAGGAGGGCTGGGCTGAGACAGGGCATAAACCCAGACCCTGAAAGCAAGAGGGTAGTAATATCTGGGGAGCTGGAGGAGCAACACCACCCAGCCAGAAGACTGCAGCTCCTGAATGCCATCTGAGGTTTAAAGAGGTTTAAAGTAGGGACTATGGGTAGGAGGGGGTTCCTGGGGACCCAGGTAGGGTCCAGAGCCCTGGAGGGGGCTGAGTGGTGGTGGTACTGGGTGAGAGACCAGAGGAGCCCTGAGGGAAAGGGGGCTGTCTGCATAGAGACCCAGAGAGGCTGGACCGCCTGGGAAAAAGAGGGCTGAGTACACAGAGGCCTAAAGAAGCCAGGCCCACACAAAGAGAAGGGCTGAGAGTCATCCGGTCTACAAAGTGATCAAGTGGGCCTGGAGGGAGGGCCTGAACAGTTGAGATCTGGTTCAAAGCTTGGGTGTACCCAGAGAATGGGGCCAGCCACAGGAGGAGGTCCCGTGAGGGGCCTTGAGAAACGTAAAGAAGACAGGGGCTGAGTGGCATGATCCTAGAGTGCTTTGAACCTTGTAGAGAGAAGAAGAGACTTGCATGAAGGGGCCCGAGAGGGTGGACCCATGGAAAGGAGGGGGCTGACAGCCAGTACACTGACTCCAAGGACCTCGACTGGCCCATGCTGGGGCCAAGGCATAGGAGAGGCCAAAGGGTGCAAACTGGGGCCAGAGCTGTGAAGGGCCTGGCCACTTGACTAGCCTGTTAGCAGGGTCAGGGCCTTGGGGAGGCCAGTGGTCTCTGTGGAGAGGGACCACAGCTGAGAGCTGGTGGTCAGAGCAAGTACAGCTTAGATGACGATGGCTGATTCAGCCATCTGAGGAAGAAGGCTCAGAGATAAGTGGTCTGAGTGCGAATTAGGGATAGAGGTAGAGATGTGAGATGGAGGTAGGGCCAGAGGACCCACCAGCCACCAGCCCCAAGGAGGTGCAGAACCTCTAGGGGAAGAGGATGGGGAGATTTGTTAGGCCTGATATTGTCCTGGGTAAGACCTAAAACTGGGTAAGACCTGAATCTGCACCCTACTGGAGGTGGTTTGTGTGGTGGAGCTGCTTATGGGGGGGCAGCCTCCATGAAATGCCATGCCTGCAGCCCTCCAGGAGAGGCAAGGGTGGGGTGCTGGAACACCTTAGTCCCCACTGCCTTGTGGGTTACCCCGTGGAGGAGCACACCCCAACAGAAAAGCACTAGATAAGGAAGACCATCTGGACCACACAGGGTCCAGAAGACTCAGGGAGAAAAGAGTGAGAGTCTTGAGCTAGAGTGCAGCCCTGGGGAGGGGCTGGGGACAGCCCAGTGAAGGCCCTGAGTTAGGGGGCATCCCAGTGAGGGGCCGGAGAGTAGAGCGTGGGCCAGTGAGGGGCCAGAGCTAGACATGAAGAGTAGGATGCCATCTGCGAGGCCTGGGACATGGTGTAGGGGAGGTATGTGGCCATGTAATTGGCCCTGAAGACCATGACCACAAGGTGAGTGGTCAGTACAGTAAGATCAGGGCAGCCTCCTGCAGTCTACATGTTCTTATTAACAGCAAGACATGGTGGGCGAGTGTGATGTGAACTGCCCCTAGAATAGCGCACCATGAAGAATTTGGCGGGGGGGTGCTCTGGTACCACCCTGTTACACCATGTACATGTGCCTATGGCTTAGAAGCCTTGTGTCACTAGTAAAGTCCTCTTTTTCAAGAATATCTGCACAGAGAAATCCGTCCTGTTTGTCTGGAAGATGGTGGTGGGTTCCATGGGACATGTGTTAAATATGGCTGATGACAGGAGACCGCAAAGAAACAGATACCTGTACTTGTTTGCAGCTCTTGTTGAAAAACATGATAAAACTAGGACAGATACCAACAGCTGATTAGTATGCGAAGCTGGCAAACAATCCGCTAACAATATTTTTCAATCGGGAAATGCTGCTTTGTTAAAATTAGAGCTTTTCAAGGGAACACGTTGAGTTTGGACTAATTTTGAGTGGGGTGGGGCAGGGCAGGAATCAAAATAATTGATGCATCAACCTTCTGTTTTGGTTATTTTGTTGGAATGTTTTGTTTTTTTTCAAAAAGTGTACATTATATCCGATAACAGTCTAAAAATTGAAAAAGTAGACTGAATTTAATTTTTATACAAACTTCCTTTCGAAGTTTCAGAATTCTGTGTTTCTCTTCCTTCTGCCTCCCGGTGTACTTTGTAAATTTGTTATATTCAGTAGAGAGGCTAGCTGCCCTGCTCTCTGCTGAAACCCATAGGGATTACTGAAATACAAACCATAAATAATAAAATAAGCTTTCCCTCCTGAGCCTGTATCCTAGCGGGCTCCTGGTTGCTCATTCTGTCAGGCCGAGAGCTCAGAACTGTTCAGTCCCCTTTGTTCTCTGAAAGGCTCTTTTGAAAACCTGTCTCCTCCTGTTACCCCCATGTTAGGTAATCATGGCTAGCCGATCAGAATTTGGCTCCTACTGTTGCTGCTGAGCTGGCCCATGTACCTAAGTCCATTTTGCTTTTTACCCTCTAACCCCCCCTAGATACTCACTACCAACACTGCCTCTTCAGGAGACCCTTTCTATGGATGCCTTTGAGAACTGGTGGGTGCAGCCCGGGCAGCTTTGCTTGGTGTCCCCCTCAGGCACTCTTATTTTCACGTTTTAACCCTGTGACCTACGCAACACTCCTATCCTGTTTTTTTTCATTAGTTGTCCCAAGAATTTAGTTGTTCCATTTGTCTGTTAGCCCCCGTAAAAAGGGGCTACAAGTTAGCCAGGTGGGCCTTGCCCATGGTAATCAGATGGACAAATAGGAGACCCTTTCTATATGGAAATGCCATGCTAATACTTTGCAATGGACTCAGTAAAGCCCTTTCCTTCCTGCTGTTGAGCTGAAGTCTGTGAGCGCAAGGTCTTCCTAGAGACAGCTGAATGGCTGTTCAGAGTTTGCACCATGCTCTGACTTCCCACTCTAATTCCCTTCATTTCTCCTAGTAGCAGTTGCACGCTCACTATGTCTTAAGGCTCCTACATGAAACCAGAAAGCACCTCAAGCAGCTGCCAAACATCAATCACGTCTCCACTTGCTATAGTGAGGAGGTCACTGTATGCGGTGAGTATGGGTAGAAAAAGACTACTCAAGCAGATAGAAGTTTCAGCTAGCTTGGGTGCTTTTTTTATTGTAGGTAAATTTATCCCCTCCTCTGTGATACACATGTAAGCCCTCTGAAATAAATGGCACTATGTCGCTGTACCAAAGGTTGATCTAGCTTGGGCCCATGTATTGTGGTACTGCTGTGTCCATCTCTAAAGGGGAATGTTATGGTGGTCATCAGAGTTTACCTGCCATATTCAAGTTACTGCCACATCAAACTCAAACGATGGAAAGTCTCATTCTCAATCCTGTTCCAAATTTGATTTTGCCCAAAAATGCAGGAGGAGTTAGTATCTGTATTCTCCCTGTTCTGCAGCTACTTAATGTCAGTTCAGTCCCTGGTGTTATAAGCTAGAAACACTTCTGATGCCAACAGCTTACATATTGGGGTAAATGGAACTACTGATTTAAAGAGGAGCCATTTTACAGAAGGGGACGTTAAATGGTTATTCATGTTTGAAAAAAAATGACATGAAAGGCACTGCTTTATATTAAATGTTAGTAAGGGGGAAAGCACATTTGACTTTTATGCCTCTTCTCGCCTGTTAGGAGACTTGCATGGACAGCTGGATGATTTGTTTCTGATATTTTATAAGGTATGTATGCTCTATGCTAACTTACACTGGCCCAATCCTGCCCTGTTTATGCATCTGAGCAGTTCTTTTGGATGTAACAAAGTATTTTGCAGGGCCAGGCCTTAAAAGTGTAATTCTCCACTTGAGCTTGGTTAGCAATAAAAGGCTTCTCTAAACTGCAGATTATACCCTTGTTTTTGGAAAATCAGATGTTAGATGCTACTGTTATCAGAGTCCATCTTTCCAGAGTGCCACTTGAACATTTGTTATAAGGAATAAATATGAAACCAGCTTTGCTGGTCACTGATTTTTCACTTACTGAGCTGACATAGCCGTGTTTGTCAAATGAGAGGAGATTAAAAGAATAAATATTGTGCAAGATCTAAAGCCCTTAGGTTATTTAAATTGGTGTAGAAACCAATGGAACTGAAGTAATTTGCACCACCGCAGATTTTGGCCCACAGTGTGATTAGGTAGGTTATTCTTGTCTTATCCTTCTGGGTACTATTTTATTCTGGGTGAAATCTTAGTCTTATTGAAGTCAGTGGGGATAGGATTTCACCATCTGTGGAGCACTCTGCCAGGATAGCAGTCAAGTTTCTAATCCATGATGTATTTTATAAGAAGCTATAAATCAGGATGGCTGGAACCTAGATAGGCGTAAGAGTTATAGGGGAAATATGGTCCTTTTGTCCTGTAGAAGTTGACTGCATTTCTTGTTTTGTAGAACGGCCTTCCTTCTCCAGAGAAGTCCTACGTGTTCAATGGGGACTTTGTGGACAGAGGCAAAAACTCCATTGAGATCCTGATCATTCTCTTTGCCTTCCTTTTGGTTTACCCAAAGGAAGTTCATCTAAATCGAGGAAACCATGAAGATCATATGGTCAACTTACGGTATGGGCTCAAAATGCATGAATAATTGAAATGCAAAGTTGTTGCACCTAACAGGCACTCTTTAAAACCATCTTTTGTGTTTGCTTTTAGCTATGGTTTTACCAAGGAAGTCATGCAAAAATATAAGGTAAGCTGGCCTCACAGATCATCTCCTGCCTAACATGCTGTGTAATGCTGGCACTTCACTTTCTTCTTTTGACCCCCATCTCTCCAGGGGCATGGAAAGAAAATCCTGAAGATGATACAGAATGTCTTTTGTTGGCTTCCGCTGGCTACCTTAATTGATCAAAAAGTCCTCATCCTGCATGGTGGGGTGTCTGACATGACTGACCTGGACCTACTTGAAAATATTGAAAGGCACAAGGTATGTTTACTTTGTAGACCCACTAAAATATAAAGGTGCTGCCAATCATCTATTGTGGTCTCCTGGCTGGAGGATAAAAATATAGAGAATGGCTTCAGATAGGCTGGACTCAACTGTGTGTGTACACCTGAGATAAGAAGGAGGAGGTTAGAATAGCATCCAAGTGCCTTTAAAATGTAAGGCTCATGGTGTCTCTCTTAAGCAGCGATAGATTTAACAGATTTCAGACATTAGGGCTGAAAGAGATGTCAGAAGATCAAGTCCAGCCCTCTGCCCCACAGGCAGGAAGTCAGCTGGGGTCAAAGGATCCCAGCAAAATAAGCATCCAAACGTTTCTTAAAAGATTCCAGAGCAGGTGCTTTCACCACCTCTGGAAGGAGTCTATTCCAGGCCTTGGGGGCTCGGACAGTAAAGAAGTTTTTCCTTATGTCCATCCTAAAATGGTCTTGGAGGACTTTGTGACCATTGGACCTTGTCATCCCTTGGGGTGCTCTGGTGAACAGGCGTTCCCACAGATCCTGATGCACACCCCTTATATACTTATAGGCAGCCACCAGGTCACCCCTGATCCTGTGCTTTTCCAGGCTGAAGAGTCCCATGGCTCTCAGCCACTCTTCATAAGGACCTCTTGCCCTCTGATCATGCATGTGGCTCTCCTCTAGACACTCTCAAGTTTCTCAACATCCTTCTTGAATTGTGGAGCCCAGAATTGTATGCAGTACTCCAGCTGTGACCTCACCAAGGCCGAGTACAGTGGGAGGATGACATCCTGAGGTTTGTTTGAGAAGCATCTATTGATGCAAGCCAGAGTTTTGTTCACTTTACCAGCTGCAACATCACATTGGTGGCTTATCTTGTTCATCTTGTGGTCAGTCATGACCCCCAAGTCCCTTTCAGCTATGGTGCTAGTGAGCATAGCACTGCTAAGCCTATAAGCATGCTGCAGGGGTTTTTTTCCTGAGGTGGAGTACCTGGCATTTTTCCGTATTGAATGTCATCAGGTTTTTATCTGCCCACTTTCTAAGCCTATCCAGGTCAGCCTGGATCACCAGCTTATCCTCAGGTGTGGACACTCTACCCCAAAGTTTGGTGTCATCAGCAGACTTGGCCAGTCCAGTTCTGACACCAGTGTCCACATCATTAATAAAGATGTTAAAGAGTACAAGGACGGAGATCATGGCACACTTAAATAGATTTGCTGATATAGGCTCTGTGATGCAGAGGGGACATATAATCTATGCTAGGAAGACTCTGTTCCCTTGGTCATAGATTGTTTCTCCCAGTAGCACCAATATCTGGACACTGATTTGTGCCTGCTTTTCAAGCGCTGGCATGTGACTCAGGGGATTTCGGTTCTTTTCCGAGTTCTGCCTGAGATGTCCAGGGTGATCGTGGGCAAGCCACTTACTTGTTCCTACTCCCCTCCTACACAGGGGTGTTGGGAAGATCCCTTTCCTTCAGAGTGTCACTGCCTGGATAGCATTCACATAGTCTCTTGCCCAATTGCCCCAAACCCTGCCCCTCTGGGGAATTAAATCGCTTTTGAGATTATAAATGCTCTGGCTCCCTTCTATTACCAACTAAACCTTCATCCCTTGATCCCAGAATATCAGGTCCCTCCAGCTGGTGGCCCTTGCAACCAAGTCTGTTTCTAAGTGTTCATAAATGAATTCAGTATGTGAGCACCTCCTAGTCAGTTCAGGATTTTACCTCCATATCATCTCTCTTTTCAGGAGGGATGTACCTGTGTCATCTTCCAGTGAGAAAACTGGGGCTCAGAGAGGTGAAGTGACTTGCCCAAGGCCAGCAAGTAGCCATTAGTAGAACGGGGAATAGAACCCAAGTCTCCTAGGTCTTAGTCCACAGCCCTGTCCTTCCTATTCTGCATCATTCTCTATACACAGGACCCCACAATAGCTAGGAGTACACTAATAAATTAGGATAATTAAACCACTTTTAACAGAGGAGAAATCCAAATGAGAAGGGCTGAGTTACTTGAATGACCCCATAAAGGGAGCTAGTGCTGGGGTTAACATGACAGCTTGGGGGTACAAAGCAGGAAAGGGGCTCCCAGCTCACCACCTTGTGCATTCACCCATCTCTCTTCTTTCAGTTTGTTTCTGTGTTAAGGGGGAAAAAGAAGAAAAAGAATAGATTAATGGAATTGAGAGACATGAATGGAGACAGCATTAATTCTTCAATGACCAGCCTGAGCTCTTCCTCAGCCACGGCTCCCAGCATGACCGACAGGATGGAGTTCTCTCAATGGGTCCGAAAGACAGTTCAAGAGCAGCTGGAGAAATGCCGCAAGCTGTTGGAGATTGAGTCAGACTCTGAGGACGATGATTTCACCTGTGCTACCTCCGTCGCCATGTCCAAGACCGAATCCGAATTGTCTGAGACATGGCAGACAATCCAGGAAGAGTGGAAGCAGGTGAGATGTTTGAGACTGCTAAAGTACTGTAGATCTTCTCCTAAAGCAGTTTCATCCCTTGTCCTTGTGAGGAGCATCAGCTGAAAATGGGCTGTTATCCATTGTCCTTCCTAAGGAGGGGTTTTCCTTGTCCTGCAATCTCTACTTAAGGAGCAAATTGTGAACCTACTGCTTCCTGCCACTTGTCCTGTGCTGTCATTTGTATCTGGGTAGCACACCATCAGATTATAATTTCTTGCTTCCTGGTTGGCCAAAAGATGTCATTGTGGCTGGCCAAAAGATGATGACCATGATGATGGGAAGGGATCCTAGTTTTCCATGAGAAAAAAACAAAAAAAATCTCTGTTTGAAAACACCACAAAAATCCACGTTTTTCCGAGACCTACTAAAAATGCAGCAGCATCCTGCAGTGAGTGGTGTCATTTCTGCTTTTATTTTTGCCTCTCAGCCAATCAGTGGCATCACCAGCACCTCCTCGGATTGGCTGAGGGGCAAAAACTGAGGCAAAAATAAGAAAGACCAGAAATAGTGTCACTTGCCACGGGACACCACCACGCTTTCTGTAGGTTGTGGAAAAATGTGGATTCCACGTTTTTCCATGGTTTTCTGCGGCAAACAGAAAACTAGGATCTCTGGTGATAGCTTCTATGGAATATGCATTAAATACCATGAATACTTGGAAATAATGGAGGACACAAAAGAACAGATACTTGGTCATAGCTTGGGACCTACCGAATTCATGGTGGAAGTGGTGTGCACAGTGGCTCCTTTAATCTTGCAGGTTTCCCCACCCCCTCTCCCCCCAGTGATTGGTGAAGGGACCCCGCTTGCAACTCACTCCTGATTAGCAGGAAGGCAAAAACTGTGGTTTTAAATACAGTGCTGTTTTTGCTTTCTGGCACTGATTGGCTGAGGAGCCCCAGACAGCCCTGCTGTTAGCTGCTGACGGGTGGGAAGGCAAGAACAGTGCCTGCGTGCCATGTTTAAAACCATGATTTTAGCTTCCCTGCTGATCAGGAGGGAACGGTGGTGTCCTCCTCTAATCAGCAGCGGGGTGGGGAGGCAAGGGGCAAGGTGAGCATGGGGGACTGTGCAAGATTAAAGGAGGCGCTGTGCACTCAAGTGCTGTGGATTCTGTAGGTCCCTATTCATAGCACTTGTTGAAAAAGATGATCAAGCCAGGGCAGGTATCAACAGAATAAAAATTTGCTAACAGAACATTTTTCTATCAGGAAATGCTGTTTTGTCTTGTCAGAATTAGCGCTTTCCATCGAAACACACTGAATTTGGATTGAACTTGATTTGGGGAAGAGTGAAGGGGAAAGAGGAGAAATCAAAGCAGTCGATATGCCATCCTTCTGTTTGGATTATTTTGCCGTTGTCATTGAAACATTCCAACAATTTTTCCACCCGCCTTGCTCCATAGTAAAAGACTACCCAAAGGCTGGGGCTATGGAGAATTAGGCCCATGGTCCCTGTGGACACCACTGCTGAGATGCAGGTGTGCATCACTATTTTGAAATAAGGGAGCACGGGGAGGAGAAGGGTGATATCGGTGTTTCTCCCTGAGATCTGTCAGAACAGCTAGGATCTGAATCTCTGCTTGTCAGAACCAAAAAAAGGAGCATTAATATTCCTTTGCCAGTGTCTGTGCCAACAACTTAGTTGCTTTCCCAGAGGTGTGGGAGAAAAAAAATCTACAATTTCAAGTGGAGGAAGGACATTTGGAAGGACCTGAAACTTGTCTATAGCTTTCCAAACTATACAGCTGGTCCAAAAATCCATACCTTTAAAATTTTAAGTCATTGTGACCTGACCACTTGCAATGTCTTTACTGTAATAGTCTAAGTTGTCTGTGTGGCATCATGCCTGAATGTTGTGCAGTCTTTTGTCAAGACACAAACTAAGTAGAACTAGTGAGGGAAATTACAGTTCTGAAAATCTCTTCCCTCCTTTTAAAACACTCCAGCCAGTTTACTTGCAAGCCTCTCCCATGACCTACAAAGCAGCCTGCTAATCCCCTCATGTTAGCATAATAGGCACTTTCATCCAAATGTCCCAGGGTGTTGCATGCTTTATCCGTACAAAGCTGTAGGGGTCAAGGTCAAAGAGATGAAACTTTCAGCTCCAATCCAAATGAATGACCAAAGTCAGCTTTCCTGTTACCGCATGGTGCTCAGAGGTCCAGACAGTTTAATGCTAAGCCCAGTGAGGACACCAGTATTTCTCAAGAGGTCTTGTTCTAGGACATGAGTCTCCTGCTGGCCTGGGACAGGAAAGTCCACTTTGAATTCAAAATAGGGCTGAGCTGAGAGAGCAATGGGAAGAAGACTCTTATTACAACCTGGATTTTTTTCCCCTGCTATATTTCTAGCACCACAGACCAACAATATTCTCCTCTCAGCAAAGGCCCAGTCCAGAGAGCCCTGTCTGTGCAAATGCATGCAGCCAGAAGCAGATCCAGAAATGGGGCAAAGAGGGTGCTTCCAGCCACCCAACTTTGGCTGTCACGCATGCTCAGCAAGCTCTGAGCTCACTGCCCTAGCAGTGCAGGCTCCTGCCAAAGCTCCTTTGACCAGTGAGTGCTGAGCTCACCATGTGATCAAAGTGGGGTCTGACCAGAGCCCCTGCTTGCACTTGGCTCTGGAGCCAAGGGGATATACACTGGTGCGTCTTATCCTTCCCTCACTAAGTTTAGCAGTAGGGGAAAGGAGGGGAGGAGTACTGGCAGCAGTGCTCACCCCTGGAACTCCATGAAAGCAGTCTCCAGCCAGGAGCTTAGGTGTAGCAGAGCCAAAGGGGGATGCAACCGTGCTACTGCGTCCCCTCTGAATCTGCCCATGTGAATTATAATACACCCACACTTATACATCATTTAGAGTGCTTGTTTGTTGCTATACCATGGTATTGGAAATAATAATATACCCCTCTACTCACCATCAGCAACATCTGAATCTCAGATGGTGCAGGGTGCTAACTCTTGGTAACTGCTGCTGCTGCAATGATAGGTACCGTGCGAGGCATTGCTGCATGCATTCAACTAGGAAATCTTTCCAATCTTTTCAGATTATAGATGTATTGTGGAGTGACCCCATGCCTCAGGAGGGTTGCATAGTAAATACGGTCCGAGGAGGTGGCTGCTACTTTGGGCCCGATGTGACAGAGAAACTTTTGCAAAAGTACAACCTGCAGTTCCTGATCCGCTCCCATGAGTGCAAGCCAGAAGGCTACGAGTTCTGCCACAGTCGAAAGGTAACTGATAAGGCAACGAACAAAAGGGGCAGAGGTGAAGTGGGGCTGGGTGTATTCCCACACTGCCATGTTTGGGTTTCCTTGGAAGAGTCTTGAGTGTGTGAATGAGCCTTCAAATGTAGCAAAACTGGTCCAGCATTGCTTCATTCAAGGTTAAAGTTGGAGGAGTTTTGCTACATTTGAATCATCCTTGACCTCTTCAAACTACAATCGGGTTCAAAAACCTGAAAGCTTGCTTAATAACTATTCTCCAACTATTTGGGTTGGTCTAATAAAAGATATCAAATTCACCCAAGGAACCTTGTCTGCCTATGTCCTTAGACCAACATGGCTACAACCTACACCCCTGATTCACTTCTATGCATTGAAAAGTGCAGTACTTAGTAAACCCATGTGTATCTCATTACAGTTACATACTAACTCCCATCATAGAACAGATATTCTGTTCTAAACTAAAGATGTGATAGTGTTGGGGTTGCCAGCAACTAAATGTGGGACCCAGCTGTGCTGTCAGATATACAAGTGTGTCAGAGTGACTTTAATGACTTCAGAAGGATTATTCTGAGCTTACACTTTGATTTCTGTCAATAGTATTTTGCCACGTGAGAACAGTTAAGATGGCAAAGATGAGAAACGGCACCTGATTCACTGAGTTTTTTCCTTTTCAAAGATTCCACTAGTTTCCTTTTTCCCAAAATATGTTGCACTAGATTCACTGCCCCTTGAATCCAGCTCTGGTTGGTTTATGTCTTATGTACACGTATCTTATGGATGGACTATAAATGCCTGCTTTTTGTTTCATGAGGTTTTTTGGTTTTTTGGTTTAGGTACTAACCATATTTTCAGCTTCAAACTATTACGAGATTGGCAGTAACCGAGGAGCCTATGTAAAACTGGGGCCAGACCTGGTCCCTCATTTTGTGCAGTATCAAGCTAGCAAGACAGCCCATACACTAAGCACGAGACAAAGGCAAGTTTTGCTGGTACTTTTCTATTGTAGATTAGAGAGGAGATCTACCCAAAATGTCAGATATGAAAACTCCTAGATAGTCTGGCTTGAAGGCTGTACTTCACATCTTTATTAAGTCAAGACTGGATACCTTTCATCAAAGATATGGTGTAGATCAGGGCTGCTCAACCCCTAGCCCGTGGTCCAGATTTGGCTCCTGGTGCTGTGTAATCTGGCATGCAAGCCTCCCCAAGGATCTGGAAATTTGCTGGTGGGAAACAGTGGCACTGCTCCCCCAAGGCCAAAATTGCAGACCTGTGGAGAGCCCCAGGCTCTGGGTGCTAGATCAGGTGCCTGCTCCTGGTGTGCAGGGCTGGCACCGGGCTTCAGGGCCTGATCCTGCCATGTCAAGGCAGCACCAGGTGTGTGGGGATGAAAGGTGGCAGCATTGAGCCCCAGGGCCCAATCCCAGTGCAAAGGGCACGATCTGGTCCATGAACCAGTCCTGTGCCAGTCATCTGACCTGTGGGGCCAAAAGCTTGAGCACCTCTGGTGTAGCTTAAAGAGCAGTTATTGGCTTCATGCAGAAGTTACTAAGTGAGCAGCTTTGGCCTATGGCACTAGATGACCATAATGATTCCTTCTGACTTTACACTCTGGGCCCATTTCTAGCTTTCTTTTCTCAAAGTGTTCCTTTAATCTGCTCTGGCAGTTTGACCTGATCACTTAAGAAACTAATGGCCAGTGTATGCTAGGTGCTTGCAAGCCACCTGATATTTAGGAAACCTGAATTGGTTTCTAGTCCCACATGTGCCAGGCACAAATGTTCCTGCTTTTGTCATTGCACACCGTCTCTCACCAAGATTACCTGGTGGGTTATCACATAATTGAATGTGGTTTTATTCCTTTGCAAGAAATGGACTCTACTCTCATGGAGAGGTGTGTATGTCCATGCATTCTGTGAACAGGCCAGAGAAACAGCTAGGGATAGAGTCCCTCTTCTGTCTCTATGACAAGGCTTTAAATGCTTCTCTCCTTTGCTGTTCCTAGAATCAGCAGAGTGGAGGAGTCAGCCTTTCGAGCTCTGCGAGAGAAGCTTTTCGCTCACACATCTGATCTGATCAGTGCATTCAAAGCTTATGATAAGGATGACACTGGTAAGTCTAAATAAAGAGATTCATATGAACTCACTGATGGAAACTCAACAGATTTGTAACAAGGCAGACTGTGTTTGGGATCTGCCAGGCCTGTGTTGGCAATGAATTGAAAGGGGCATGAGGGAAGACTGGGAAAACGTTGGCCACCTCTAAGCTGTGTTATTAGCATGCTATAATCCAAAGTGGTGCTAGACAAGCCAGCCTAACTTTGGTGCCCAGAAAGCTATCAGGGGGAAAAAATCAGTCAAATTGTGAAAATGGCAAGATGATGAGATTGATTTGAGAAGAAGAAATTTATGTCAAATCAAATTTATTTCCACCTTTAACAGGCTATTTGACCTAGTGGGTAGGGATAAAGCAATAGGAATGCTATATTCATAGATTCATAGATCGTAGAGTCAGAAGGGACCCAATAGATCATCGTGTCTGACCCCCTGCCCCTGGCAGGAAAGAGAACCAAGGTCAGATGACCCCAGCCAGGTGACTGTCAAACCTCCTCTTGAAGACCTCCAAGCTAGGTGATAGCACCACCTCTCTTGGAAGCCCATTCCAGATCCTGGCCACCCTTACTGTAAAAAAATTCTTCCTAATGTCTGACCTAAATCTGCTCTCCACTAGTTCGCATCCATTATTCCTAGCTACTCCCTGGGGCGCTCTGGTAAACAGCGCATCCCCAATTCCCTGCTGTCCTCCCCTGATAAATTTATAGGGGGCCATAAGGTCACCCATCTTTTGTGTAGGCTGAAGAGATCCAGATCTCTCAACCTCTCTTCATAGGGTTGTTCACGGAGGCCACTAATCATGTGGGTGGCCCTCCTCTGAACCCTTTCCAGATCCCCCATGTCCCTCTTGAAGTGCGGCACCCAAAACTGGACACAGTAGTCCAACTGCGGCCTGACTAATGCTGCATTGAGGGGGAGCATCACCTCCCTCGATCTGTTAGTCATGCATCTGCTCATATATGACAAGGTGTGATTGGCTTTGTTGATGGCCTCGTTGCACTGCCGGCTCATGTTCATCTTGGAGTCAGCTATGACGCCAAGATCTCTCTCAGCCTCTGAGCTGCTGAGGAGGACATCCCCCAACCTGTAGGTGTGCTGGGGATTCCTCCTTCCTAGGTGGAGTACCTTACATTTATCTTTGTTGAATTGCATCCTATTACATTCCACCCATTGATCTAACCTGTCCAGGTTGGCCTGTAACTGCTCCCTGCCCTCTGGTGTATTAACTTTGCCCCATAATTTGATATCATCTGTGCACTTGGAGAGGCTGCTCAACACACCCTCATCCAAATCGCTGATGAAGATATTAAATAATACTGGCCCAAGGACTGAACCCTGTGGGACCCCACTGCCCACTTCCCTCCAGGTTGAAAATGACCCGTCCACCACCACTCTCTGGGTGCAGTCCTTAAGTCAGCTGGCCACCCACCTGACCGTGTAAGCATCCAGTCCACAGCCTGCTAGCTTCCCTATGAGAATAGGATGCGAAACTGTGTCAAAGGCCTTCTTAAAGTCCAGGTAGATGACATCGGCCTCTGCTCCTGTGTCAAGGCAGTGTGTGACCTGGTCATAAAAGGCTATAAGGTTTGTCAGGCAGGATCTACCTGAGACGAACCCGTGCTAGTTTCCTTTCAGCATCGTTTCCCCTGCTGGGCTTTCACAAATATGCTCTTTGATGATTTTTTCTAGTATTTTCCCAGGGATAGAGGTAAGACTGAGTGGCCTAAAGTTACCCGCCTCCTCCCTTCTCCCCTTCTTAAAAATGGACACCATGTTGGCCTTTTTCCAGTCTTCAGGGACCTGGCCAGAGCACCATGAGTACTTGAACAGCAGTGCCAGCGGCTCAACAATGACACTGGCCAATTCCTCCAGCGCCCATGGATGGAGGTCATCCGGGCCGTCTGACTTGTACCCATCCAGCCCTTCCAAGTGCTCTTTAGCTAAGTCAGCACTAACCTTTGGCAGTCTGGTGCCTTTTGGACATCTGTCTATGCTCAAGGTTTGGGGATAGTCTTAAGGAATACTGAAGCGAAGAACTCATTGAAGAGCTCTGCCTTTTTGTCTGCATCAACCACCAACTGACCTGATTTGTCCTGCAGGGGCCCTATGCTACTTTGTGCCTTCTTTTTGCTCGCTATGTATCTGTAGAAGGACTCTTTATTGTCCTTGATTGTTGTAGCCAGCCTAAGCTCCAGTCCTGCCTTGGCCTGCCTGACTCCCTGCAATAGCACGCCAGGGTGGTCTATGCCACCTTGGTGGCTGCCCCCTGCTTCCACTGCCTATATATCTCTTTCTTTGCTCCCAGTCTTTCGTGAAGCTCCCTGTTCAGCCAAGGGGGCTTTTTTATCCCCTTAGCCCCTTTCCTGTGTAAGGGGATAGACTCCTTTTGTGCTACAAGGATCACTCCCTTGAGAAACTTCCAACCCTCTTGGACCCCCATTAGCCCAATGCTCTTGAGTTTGGCCACCTCACTAACTAGGTTCCTAAGTTTAGTAAAGTTGGCCCTTCTGAAGTCTATAACTAGCATCACTGGATATTTTTGTCACCCTTCGCTAGATAGTGAACTCTACCAAGTGGTGGTCACTATCACCCAGGTTACTGTGTACCCACAGATCCCCCACGAGATCATCCCCTGTTGCTAGGACCAGGTCTAGCAGGGCACTACCCCTGGTGGGACTGGACACCACCTGGGTTAGGTGGAGGTCCTGCACAGTGTAAGAACCTCCATGAGTGGCTTGTTTTGGCTGCCTGTTCCTCCCAGCTGATATCTGGGTAATTTAGGTCCCCCATGACCACTGCCTCCCTTGCCTGTATGGCATCTGAAAGCTGCTCGGAAAATACCTCATCTAGCTCGTCATCCTGGTGAGGAGGTCTGTAGTAGACCCCCACTACCAAGTCCTTCTCTCCTGGCCCCCCCTGGATCCTGACCCACAATGTCTCGATAGTCCTCTCCTCCACTCCTGCCTTGATGGCAGAAAATGTGTACTCCTCCTTCACATAGAGAGCTACACCCCTGCCTTTTCTCCCCACTCTGTCTTATCTATACAACCTGTCCCCCTCAATGCCTACCGCCCAGTCGTGCGTAGAATCCCACCATGTTTCAGTTAAGCCGACTAGGTCATACTGCATGCTAGCAAGCAGGAGTGTGAGTTCTTCCTGCTTGTTCCCCATACTCCTGGCATTTGTGTAAAGATATTTTAGCCTCCCAGTGGATGCTCTTGGTGTCCCTTTCCCTTGATAGCACGTGTTCCCCTTAGTGCTTACCTGGTTAGGTCCAGTGCCTTGTTCATGGCTTTCCAACCCTGGGTTCACATCAACCACCGGTTCCCCGTCCCCCGTCAAGCCTAGTTTAAAACTCTTTGGAGGAGATCAGCCAACCTGCGGGAGAACAGATGCTTACCTCTAGGAGAGAGATATTGGCTTTAAGTAGGCGTTTTCACTTAGTCTCATTTAACATTCTTATAAGTGAAGATGGGGAAATAGGGTCTAGATGAATGTATTGTAAAATAGGTACACAACTGGTTGAAAACTGGAGTAAGAGTACTTATTAAGAGTTCACTGTCAAACTGGTCAGACAGTCAAGTGAGGTCCTAGAGGGGTCTATCTTTGGTCTGTTTTCTCATCCAAATATTCACTGTCATCTTGGGTTATGGATTGGAGTACACTTAAACAATGGGATGGCTACAAGCTAAGAGAAGTTACAGGCATTTTGGAGAGCCAGGCCAGGATTCAGAATGGTCTTGATAAATTGCAGAAATGGCCTGAAATCAGCAGGATGAAATTCAATAAAGATAAATGCAAAGTACTGCACCTAAGCATGATAAATCAAATGCTGAAATACAAAACAAGGAAATAGTTGGTCAGGAAACCACATTGCAATAATTGATCTGGGAGTTATAGTAGACCTCAATCTGAGCAAGTCAAAAACATGCTACTGTTTGGGGGGGAGAAAAGTAAATGTCATGTTGGTTTGTATTCATAGGAATGTGACTTGAAACACAGGAGGTAATCGTTTCACTCTGCATTGGGCTAGCAAGGCCTAAGCTGGAGTATAGCTGCCCAGTTATTAAGGACATTGCTCTTAACATGACCTGCTAGGAAAAAGTGTCTTTTTTGTGTGGAAAAGAGAAGTTTGAGGGGAGACAGAATTTTTAGATATGCGAAAGGTTGTTATATAGATAACAGTGGTCATTTGTTCTCTGTTTCTGCTGAATATAAGACAAGAAATAATCATCTACATTTTAGGTGGTTTAGATTGAGAATTAAGAAAAAATTTCTAACTGTAAGTATAATTAGGCACTGGAATAAGCTGTGGAGGAAGGATGGTATTGAAATCCCCTTTACTGGCAGTATTTAAGAACAGCTCGTAGGGCGTTTGTACACACGACACCATTACCATGTACACATGACAAAGATGTCACTGTGTGGCTTAATGGCGTCACACCATACGCATGCAGGAGTTTTGGGGGTTTAAAATGAGTTTGTATCATTGCAAACTAAATTACATCCTGGTGTAGTTTCGTTTGCAATGATGTGTTGCAGCTATTAGTCAGCTCAACCCTGGCTGTTGGAAAGGTGGGCAGGCTCCTCAGAAAAAAAGGATTGGGCCCCTCACTGCTTCTGCCTTCAACAGGCACCTGCTGAAGACAGAAGAGGAGAGGGGCCCAATCCTTTTTTTTTTCCCCCAGCAGAGTATGTCTTCTATTCCTGCGGCCAGTGGGCAAGCTGCCAGTGGGGTGAGTAGCCCCTGAGCTACAAGAGCCCCAGTCCTTTCCTTCATGGTGGCAGCACCCCTCAGGACTGCCTGGGCAGGCTGCTAGTGACCCGGGTGCTGCCCCAGCTCAGGGTCAGAGGAGTTGAATCAGGCTGGGTGCTGCCTCTGAGCCGGGGCAGCATCCAGCCTGCTAGCAGCCCACCCAGGCAGCCCCAGGGGGTGCTACTGCCATGGAGGGAAGGACCAGGGCTGCACCTCAGGGGCTGCTTGGCCCACCAGCAGCTCATTTCCTGGCCGTGGGGGAGGCAGGGACTCCGGCAAAAAAAAAAAAAAATGGATCAGTGCCCTTGCCATAACAGTGATGGAAACCCCTCAATTGAAATGGTGTTTCAATTAAAAATCCATTTCAATTTAAGGGACATAGAATGCAACCCTAAGGACTAATCTCCCATCACATGTACAAGCACCCTTAGATAACAGCTGGCTGGGCCGGTCTAGGTGTACCTGATTATGCCACAAAGCAGGGCCTCTTGGGGTTTTGTCCAGCCTAACCTTTCTAGCAGGGAGAACAAGAGCACAGTTGTTCTCATGTTTACATGTTGGCCATTAAAGAGCTCTTTATTCACTGCCAGAGCCCTACAGAGAGAGATGGAAGAGAACAAACCTGTGTTATTTCACTTGTGCCAGGCCGGCCTGCCTGCCTCTTCCTTCCAGGTGCTAACTGCATTTATCTTTCAAGAAATGCTAAGTCTAGGCAAGAAATGTCTTGCTAGTTCAGTGCTACTGTTATCCTATTCTAGAAACACGTCTAGAGTAAACACAGTCTATCCTGGTGTACATGCAGTTTTGCAAGTAGAACCATGTCAAGATGAGGGGCTTTTGTTGGTACAGTTATGGTGCCCATATATTTTAAACACAGACCTCAAGTTAGGCATCTGCTTCTACGTTCAGGGAGATGAAAACACATCATCAGGGTTAGGTAAGAATGTTAACTACTCACCCAGGTTGAAGGGAACAGTAAAAGTCCTTCAAGCCACATTATACCACTGAAAAGGAGGAAAACAATGACACACAGGACTTGGTAGCCAGTCAGTCTTCTTGTCTCATCAACCCAGGCTTGGGCACTTGACTCTTAGAATGGGGAATCTGCAACATCATTTTGCCCCCATATGAGCTCAAGAAACAGGAGTCCTGGCAAAACATGACATGGCAGTGCAGTCTTGAAGTGGTTAAAGATACTTGGTTGCATCTAAATAAGCGTGTATGTGCAGAGGTGCATGTTTCCCACGGCACAAAAAGCAGCAGCACATATTTGCTCTGGCACATGGCGAATTGACCTGGGTTGGGTAGGGGAGGATGGGGCAAGCACCTGAGCTGGGCCCAGCAGCCTTACCTGGGGTCCTGGGGGCCTCCTGGGGCAGCAGCAGCAGCAATCCAGCCACTCAGAGTCTGGCCAGCAGTCAAAGCATGGCTCTGGCTGGCCAGGCTCTTTTTGGCGGTGCACACTGCTGCCAGGTGTTGTGCCACTTTTTTCTGCAGCAGTTTTTTTGACACCAGGATCTCCTGGTGTCAAATTTTGGCACTGCACTGCAAATTAGCAGTGTGGTGAATGGGTGTACATACACCGTGTGTGGTTTGTGGTGCCTCAGACAGCTTTGAGGTACCACAAACCACATATATGCGCTCATCTGGACCTTGAGATCTCATCTAATCCATGGCCAGATCTACCCCAGAAGTGGGTTATTAGGTAAGTAGTTTTATTCCTAAAATGCTTCTGAGGTGCTCTCTCTCTCAAACAGGGTTGATCACACTAAGCAACTGGGCAACTGCAGTGGAGTCAGTACTGCATTTAGGATTGCCATGGCGTATGCTTAGACCACAGCTAGTGTGCAACACTACAAATGGCATGATGGAGTACAAGTGCTGGCTCGATGACTTAGCCATAGAAAAGAGGAGCCAAGAAGTAAGTAACTAACAGTCTGCTCATTTCCTAAAGGACCAAGGCAAGGCAGAAAGCTGGAACCAAAACACAGCCCCTAACCACAAAATTGACAAAGCCAGTTGATCCCTCAGGGGTGAGGTATGCCAGGAAAAGCCTAGGTCAGGGGTGGGCAATTATTTTGGCCAGAGGGCCACTTAAGGAGTTTTAGTGAGCTGTAGTAGGCTGGGTCAGCCTCCCTTCCTGCTG